GTCACCTGCACCCGAATGTTTATGGCAGCACAATTCGCTATTGTAAGGATGTGGAAACAACCCAAATGCCCATCAATTCATGAGTGGATTATTAAAATTTGGTATATGTATACAATGGAATATTACTCAATTATAAGAAACGACAGTGATTTAGCACCTCTTATATTTTCCTGGATTGAACTTGAGCCCATTATCCGAAGTGAGGTATCACAAGATCGGAAGAATGTGCTCCACTTGTACTCGCCATCAAATTGGTACTAATTGTTGAACACTAGGGTGCTCACGTGGCAGTAATACTCTCTAGGGATTAGGGGGATGGGTGGGGGGTAAACCCCAAACTAAAGGACATGAGGAGCATTGTAGAGGGGAAGGGCACGTCTCTAACCCTCGCTTGGGTGAGGCAAACACATAAAATGTAACCATAATATGTTTGTACCCTCATAATACCCTGAAATAAAAAAAAAAAAAAGTCCTGGCCTTTCTACTTAAATTTATTAACATGTGTAAAATACTCAAAACAATGCTTGGCCCATAAGCTTTCAGTTGTTAGCTTTTTTATTTCTGTTTTATTTTTTCACACAAATGGGAATATACATGCATCCATTCTGCAATAACTTTTTAATTATTAATGTATTAACTTTTGAAAGCTTGCTCTGTTCTAAGCCCTTCCTATGCATTATCTCACTGAATCTCCATAGCAACCTCTGGGCTAGGTATGATGAAGTATCCCTGCTGTACAGGAAGGAATCACACTAAACACAAGGGGTTATTGTGTAACATTTTCAAAGTCCCCAAGCCTGTGTTGAACACCAGCAATCTGACTCCTGCACCTTCACTTTTAACTTCTTTGTTCTACTGCCTTTCAAATAATTGCTTGACTTTTTGTTTGCTTCTGTTTGTTTTTGCTTTTGTTTTGTATCTTGTTTTCAACAACACTTTGTAATTTTCTTTTAGACCAAAGCTGATAAAAATTTCAGAACCGAATATTTTGACGAACAGATTCAAGCATTTAAAAGTATCATCCAAGAGAGGATATCAAATTTTAATGCAAATTTAGCTGTAAAATTCACACCCACTGAAGTAAAAAAGG